TGACAAGCTGACAGAAACTTTTGTACCAAAAGACGAAACAAACTTTTCACTGTTAGCAAGACCAAAAGTTGTTCCAGACAAAGTTCTAGTACAAAAGAATACACAATTCCACAAGGAGTTGGATTGTTCGGATACCAACCTGAACCAGAAGAACTTCCAATGAGGTTGCAAGAACTTCAAGATGCTATAAACAAACTTCCATTGAGACATCCAATTGACGTCAAATTGTATTGGAGAGCATCTGAGTTAGGTCAGAAGGTTTTATATGAAACGGGTTGCTTCGACGATGTTTATGAGATAACAGGAGAAGTTTCTCAGAAGATAAGAGACTCACTTGAATTTCCACAAACTGGACCAATTGGTTGTGACAAGTTCGACTCAAAAAAAAGATATACTATGTCGACCTTAACGCTGCGTACATGAGGTTTGTCCAATATATTCCGACTGGAATTCCAAACGAAGATGGTGAGTTCCCGGGAAGGAACTATACAGTTGGAAAAGTCATACAACAACTGTATGATATTAGGAAAGCTTCAAACCCCAAACTTGCAATGACACTCAAATTGCTTATGAATTCGACATGGGGATATTCCATTAAGAAACCTCAAGAGATGAAGAGTAAACATTATGAGAAGGTCGACAACTTTGTTGAAAGGTTTTCTCCTTTTGTTTTGAAGTACGAGTTCACTCAAGGTCAAAATGGCTTAGTAACCACATTAAAATCTATTGTCGAACATTGGTCTTACCCTCAGTTCGCAAAGGCAGTCCTTGACAACTACAACAAATTCTTCTCCGAAGTCAAATCCAAAGTTGTGGTTTACTATGAGAACATTGACGCACTCATGACGAACGAAGAAGGGTACAACAAACTCATTGAAATGGGCATGGTCGGTGAAAAGATGGGTCGATTCAAATTGGACAAAATTTTCACCGAAGTTCATGTCCTCTCCAAGCGTAAGTACTGGGGCATACTTGAAGACGGCACAGAAATAAAACATTGCATGAAGTAAAAAATTGCATGAAGTAAAAACGTTTTTTAAACCATATATTTTTACATATATTAAATGCTTCAGGTTGAAAAACAAAGAACAAAAGTAGCAGATACAAAACCGTTAGACTATATCTATACAAATGCTGGTAGGACTATTTCAGATGAAGAAATTTCATCCCGAGTATACAGGTTTGACTATCCAATTCGTTGGCTTCAAAGTCCTTCAGATGCAAAGGCAATAGGATTTAGAAGAGTTTTGTTTCAAATAGAACTAACGCATTTATGTTCGCAGTATATTTTCATGGGCAGTATAAAGGTTCTGATGGTCTAATAGACAAATTTGACGAAATGAGGATCTTTACAGTTCGTTCAGACGAAAGTCTTGAGAAAACTCTAAATGACTTTCCAAACTCAAATGAACAAATACTATTCGGGAATTTCAAGAAAAATACGACTCTTTACTAAATGGAACATACTATCTGAAACTAGAATGACAAGATGAACTCCACCGTTTTCATTTCAAAAGATTGAAATTAACCCTCCAAGAGATACAGAGTTTTTATTTTGGAAAGTAGACAAACGTTCTTGGCACAATTTCTTCGGTTACTAAACCAGAACGAACCATTACCACCAGATGGTCCATTTAAATTTATACTTTCCACCAGCAGATTTTGACAGTTTATAGAAAACGTGTTTGACCCTCAAATGTTATGTGTCATGCAAGTTTCAGTTCAAGCAACAATAGTTTTCTATGTATTGGTAAGGACTTTTATGACTTTGCTTCTAAATTCTACGAACCACCTAGTAACAGTTTCTCTGACTTTCAAGTTTGGTTCACAACAAATGGTGTGCAACATATAATACCATTGTACTATGACTTTTATCTCGAATTGTCTTTCATATACAACTACGGAAAAGTGCTGAAAAAGTATTGAAAAATATATTTTAGGTGAAGTGGTGAGATCTCACCTGTTTTTTCACCTAATTTTTCACCCGTTGAATTTTCATGAATTTTCCCGAAATAAAAAATAAAGTTAGTTTTTTAAAAAAATATTTTTTATTTTTATTGTAAGAACAGTAATGTCAGTCGAAGCAAAAACGTTCACGAACAAATCTAATGGCGAAACATTCACAAAAGCACTTACAACGGTATTGAAGTCTTACGTAGAGACAAGGATGGTTATATAAATGTAACAAATATGTGTCAGCAGTTTAGGAAAGACTTTAGAAAGTTGTTGGAAAATAAGTCCTGGGAAGAGTATTATAAGGCATTTTGTGAAGAATATAGCAACCGCCGGAATTCCGGCGGTTGGTTTTTATACAAAATTCATGCAGGAATTTCTGATGAAATCAAACAGGTTAGAGGAACGTATGTAGACCCAAGACTTATAAACTATATAGCAATGTGGGCTTCTCCAAAATATTGCATAGCAGTTGGAAAAATTATGGACTCCATAGACAAGAAAGTTCATGAGAAATTAGATGAAGAAGAACTTGAAGATACAGTAGAGAATGCTAAACCTTTGTTCGAACAAGAAGTTAGAAAAATGTGCGAAAAACAATTTGAACATGAACGTGAGATATGTTATGGTTATAGAGATTCTCCATACGAACTAGACCAATGGGAACAAGAAGATTTAAAGAGAGAATTTAGAGAATATGAACTCGCTAAGATAGCATTTGAAGCTGCAGAAAAGAAGTTAAAAGTTTGGGGTCGTTTTGTAAAAAAATATTGTGAGTAAATGAACCATTTATTTTTATTGAATTCACCAAAAATAAAGTTTAGGGTAGAAGGTTAGATCTAACCTCTTTTCTCACCTCTTTTCTACCATCGTAGAAAACTCATGAAAACAATTTATTTTTGACACTTTCACAAAAAACATAAAAAATAAAGTTAGTATTTTTAAAAAAATATTTTTTATTTTTATTGTAAGAACATGTTAGCAACAACAGCACCAAACTCTTTAGTTATGAACCCAACTTCAATGTTAGTAGAGATGAAAAGCTTCATTCCTTCTTCATATACTTTTGAGACAGAAATCCAGAAGATAAAGCAAGAACTTCTCCAAGGAGATTTAGACTGTAGTGCGAAAGATGAAACAAATGAACAATATCTTTATGAAATGCAGGACCTCATCGACCATCTACCTAAACTTCCTAAAATACAACAACAAAAGCTTACTATTCCAGAATTTGAAGAAATTGAAGTCAGACCAACCGACTCAGTAGAAATAAAGAAGTTCATACGTAAGGTTAACTATGAGTTTCTTGGATTTCATTGCAACCACAAAGTCATGGACAAAGACTGCGATATGGTATATTTCATTGACATATATAAATCTGAAGAATTTAAGACCTACGACAACTTTGTTTCGTTAGTTGCTGAATGTGTATGGCAGATAAGAGATAAAGATAGAAGAGGTAAAATATGGAACGAACAAATAAAACCAACTGCTTCAGATTTAAAGAAAACCATTGACGCTATAGTTGTACTTGCAGGACAAATTTCAATGTACAATGCTAAAATGAACCCACAATGTTCTAAATGTAAAGCAGCAATGAGGAAATATAACTACTCCGTCAAAGAGATAGAACGTATGCGAAACGACTATGCTGACTTAAAGAAAGAAGCAGAGAAACCAGCAGAAAACAAAATGGACATGTTAGCATTTCTAAACAAAAACTATCCAACAGCTGACGATTTCCTTCTTTCAGATGTCAAGAAGAAATATAAAGAAACATTCGGCATTGTGAAAACATTCGATGTACTAAAAGAAGAAATCGAAGCCACAAAATTGTTTAGAATTTCAAATATACATCGTACAATTCATGTAAAACGCTTATAAAATAACTGGGGTGAAAAAAGAGGTGAGAAAAGAGGTGAGATCTAACCATCTACCCTAAAATATATTTTTGCTGAAAAAAATGACCAAATTTCATTATATAACTGTTATTTTTTTACGAAGAGAACTTTGACACTTCGTCAAAAAAATCCCTGAAATCGTGAAAAAATGACCAAATTTCATGAATTTCCTCATATGTTTGCTACCCGAGGAAAACCGAGGATAGAGATTCCGTACGAAAATCGTGAAAAATTGCGACCCAGACTTTTTTCGGGGTCGCCTAAAACTCATGAAAATCGTGAAAAAATGACCAAATTTCATTATATAACTGTTATTTTTTTACGAAGAGAACTTTGACACTTCGTCAAAAAATCCCTGAAATCATATCTTTTATACAAGATAGAAAATCTTACTCGCCTAAAACTCATGAAAATCGTGAAAAAATGACCAAATTTCATTCTATAACTGTTATTTTTTTACGAAGAGAACTTTGACACTTCGTCAAAAAAATCCCTGAAATCATATCTTTTATACAAGATAGAAAATCTTACTCGCCTAAAACTCATGAAAATCGTGAAAAATTGCGAGTAGTAAAAAAAACCCAGTCGCCTAAAACTCATGAAAATCGTGAAAAAATGACCAAATTTCATTATATAACTGTTATTTTTTTACGAAGAGAACTTTGACACTTCGTCAAAAAAATCCCTGAAATCGTGAAAAAATGACCAAATTTCATTATATAACTGTTATTTTTTTACGAAGAGAACTTTGACACTTCGTCAAAAAAATCCCTGAAATCGTGAAAAAATGACCAAATTTCATTATATAACTGTTATTTTTTTACGAAGAGAACTTTGACACTTCGTCAAAAAAATCCCTGAAATCATATCTTTTATACAAAATAAAAAAAATAACGCTAGTTTTTTTAAAAAAATATTTTTTATCTTGTATGTAAGAAACAGAAAATGTCAAACACTGAGTTTGAAACAGTTAAAAAGATAGACAATGACACCAAAATGGTTAGAATAGGTGATTTAAACGTAAGATACTCAAAGAAATACAACAAATATTCTTTGTCAGACATTTTATCTCCATTTGGAAAGAAACCGAAGGACTGGGTTGGAATTGCTTCAACTCAGAAAATTTTGACAAGAAATCCTGAGCTTATGATATCAGTAGCATTTCATGGAACAAGAGCATATCTTATAGACAAAAGTCTTATACCAATAGTTTTGTTATGGTTAGACCCAGTTGTTGGATATAACTTCATAACATATGGTTCATTCGATACGGAACGTTGCAGTGAAGGCTTACTTTACATCGTTCAGAAACCGAAGGACTTCAATACAAAAAGATATAAGATAGGAAGAACATATAATATAACTCAAAGATATGACAGTACAGTCAATAGAGTCAAGGTTGTGTTTGTTAACGATATGAGAGCTGCTGAAACAGAACTACTTGAAAAGTTTGAGAAAATGTATGGTGCTCCCACGAAAGGTAAAGAAACGTTTGAAGTAGATGAGATAGGTAAAGCTATAAAATTATTTGACGAAGTTGCTGAAAAATACATGTAAAGCGTTTATTTTTGGTCTTTTGTGAAAGTCAGGAAATAACGCTAGTTTTTTATAAAATATTTTTTTTATCCGGAATATAAAGACAGATATGACAACAACAGAGAACACAACAACAGTTATAGTCCATGAAGCTATAAATGAAGAATATGAGTGGGTTCAGTTTAACAAACAACTCCGTCTCATTCGTTCGGTCAAAGACGATATGTACCAAATGCAAAGTATTTTGACAGCATGTTTTGCTCCAGATACTAAGAAACCACAAGACTGGTTTGAATTAAATAGCACTCATGAACTCCTCAGTGAGTTTGAACATGTAGAACTTAAAAAGATGTACCAAGACAGACAAAACTTACCATCACATCTAAAAGGTATATATGTTCATAAGTTCCTAGTTAGTTCAATAGCAATGTGGGCTTCACCTCGTTATGCAATCTACATACTTATGCTACTTGACGAACTTTGTACAAAGCAGAGAGAAGATATGATGAAAGAAGACAAAAGCCTTCAGAAAAGAATACCACGTTCGGTACCAAAAGGAAAGGAAAAGAACTATAAGTATATGATTTATACTGAAGAGATGGAAAATGAAGAAGACAGAGATATGGTTATGTTGCATTTAGTCAGAAGAAACAACAAAAGCTTTTACGACCTTGCTAAGATTTACAAATCTGACAGAAATTGGTTCTATCGCGAAAACTTACCGATTTCAATGACACCAAATGAAGATGTGAAACAAATAGTTCAAGATACGTTACCTCAAACACACTATATGATATTAAAGGTTGTACAATTCTTACCTTCAAAGAAGATTTGCCATTGTTAAAGGAAAAAATAACAGAGTATTTTGACAACTTCAAACAAGTAGGGTAAATGCACTCTTTATTTTTACGCTTGACTTCAGATGGCTCAGGTAGCTCTATAAGGTAAATTGTCTTGTCAAATCCTTCTGGCATTCCGAGTCCTTCCATCCGACAGGGAAAAAAATTCCCTTCCGACAGGAAAAAATTTTCCTGTTGTCCGTCCGTAAACCATTCAAATTTTCGAAAATTGAGAACTTTTTGGTCGAACGACAGAAAAAATTTTTCCTTCCGACAGGAAAAAATTTTCCCGACAACTGGAAAAATTTTCCTTCCGACAGGACACAAACGAATGTCCGACGTTCCTCTTCCTGAATGCCTTCCAAAGCCAGAAGAACCGACAGCCCCAGCACCACAACAGACTTACTAAGACTAACCATTTATTTTTACGCTTGACTTTTTACAATTTGAACTTTGTTTGCGTAGATATGAATTCTGAAAGAAGTATGAGGGTCTTGTATGACTTTGTACTTCTCCCATAGTTCATGTCTGTCAAACTTACCTGCCATGGACTCTTTCATAAGTTCCATGAAATCGTCTTCGGACAATCCGGGGAAAAGTACAATGTCAGTAAGTATTCTCTTTACATCCTTACTTAAACTCTTTGCTGTCTGTACACAAATGACAACTGAGATGTTAAAGTGTCTGAGCTTCTTAAGAATTCGACACATGTCTTGTTCTCTGTTCTTTAACAAAGGATGAGAAGCAAAGTCATCTAAGATAAGAAGACATCTATGAGGGTACGTTTTCCAATCGTAAGATTGCAATTTCTTCGAAATGTATTCTATCTCTTTCTGTTTGTTTCTGAAGTGTTTCTTCTCTAATATTCTCTGCATTTCCTCATTTGGGTCTTTAAACTTCGAATTGACATACTCATTTATAGCATTGTACTTCAAAACTCTTCTTTGGTACTTCTTTATCCAATCTAACAACTCAGAGTCTTTTATACATACTAACTTAGACTTTTTTATAATATCTTTGAACGAATTGACGGTTTGGTCAAATTGACCCGAAGTACTACAAATGACAACTAACTCATAGAATGGGTTCTTCTCATCTAGTTCTTGTTGTTGTGCAGCCATTTTAAGATAAGTGAAAGTCTTACCCGACCAGGTGGTGCAATTAGACCTGTTATACCATTCTGAGCAAATAAGAACTTGTCATGTATAGGCTTTATCTGAGCATTTTCTAACTTCCTCTTGTTCTTGTTTAAAACATTCTCAAATTTCTTGTCAATGTCAGCAAACTTTTTTTCTAACATATTTTTAGAAAAATTAAAATTTTTATCTTTTAGAAAATGTCTAGCGATTTCGCTATCTATATTCGAGACAAACTTTTCGACAGCAAAACATCTGTCGACCATAAAATCTTACATAGTGTAAACAAGAAAGGTGAATTTGTTCTAAAGTTCTGTTTCTGGGAATATGACAAGAACCATAAAACATTAAGCAGAGCAGTCTTAAAATTTGTCAATGACAGACTTGTTGACAGAGATGACGCCTCTTGGAGAGATGAAGTCCAACAAAACTTCTTAGAATGCAAAGAAGACACATGCGCTGTTCTTGAAGATGAAATAGAAAACAGAATAGAAGAGCTATTAAAGGACAAAGAACTTTTACAAAAATATGGTTCTGAGAAGTTTGACATAACTCCACCAGAAAAGAAGAAGAGAGAAAAGAAAGAAAAGAAAGTAGAAGAAGAGAAGAAAGAACCAGAGCCAGAGAAGAAGAAATTTGACATGTAAAAATAAAATTTTATTTTTAGAACATTTCTGGGTCAATGTCAATGTTCTCTTCCTCTTTAGGAGCAAACACTGGCTTAGACTCTAAAATCTTTTTACCCAATTTACCTTGAACTTCAACTATCTTAGACTCATAATATTCATAGTCGTCTGCTTTCTTTGGTTCATAAGGTATAACAAGTTTGTATGCTTTGCCTTCTTTAAGGTTTGAGAACCTTCTGTCAAAACTTTCTTTGACTGCTAACAAACCTTCTATGTCTAAGTCTTCAAATTTCGCACCATTTTTAGTCACAATAGCAAACTTAACTGGTTCGATGTTCCAAACTTTGCTGAATGAAGACTTTTCAAAATGGTAGAAGTAAACATTCAAATATGTGAATGGGTCTAGTTCTTCTTTAAGTCCTGACATGTACTTGTTTACTGAGATGAATTTTGCCATCTTTTCTATCGGATAAAAAAATATTTTTTTTAAATTTACTCATAAAAATTTTTCTTTGTATATACACCATTCTGTACGTCTAAAAGACTTTTGACATTTGCCAAGAATGTTCGTTTAGACGCTGTCATATAACCATATTCTTGACAATACTGTTTATACGAATCGTACAATGACCTTTCATCTAAACACTCAAAGTCAGTTTCATCTATGAACAGTTCATATACACTCTTGTTTGCTTCTAACAATGTTTGTCTCTCTTCGGTATGTGGAATTTGTCTTGGATTGAACTTAGAAATATCTAATGTCATGAAATATGAGAACAAGTGGTTGTAAAAGTCAGATGTCAAAGTTTCTGCTAAGTCGTCAAAATATTCTGTATCTTGCATATGAGAATCTGACGTTCTGACAACTACATATCTTCTGTCAGAACTTTCTAACTTCATCGGAACAACATTGTTTGAAACCATAATGAAATTTGCAACATTTTCACAAACTCTTTGGTCTTTATATTTTCTTTCAACAACTCCAACTTTGTCTGTTATAAGACTCTTCAAAGCATCTGAGTTCAAAACTTTTGTTGTATCTATACTTTGAAGTTCGTTACATACTATAAGTTTCATATTCTCTATTGAAGAGTTAAATTTACCGCAGATGTTTTCTAAGTTTGTCATATTCGGATTCGAATAACCTTCTAACAGTTTGCATAAGATATCTGTAAAGAATGTGTTCTTACCTGTTCCTTGTTTTCCAATTATAATGAGAGCAGTTTCATTTTTAGCACTTGGATGTTGTAAGATGTTTGCAAACCAACATAAGATATACTCATAGACTCTTTCGTTTCCATTGCATATAATTTCTTTGACATGGTCTAACCAAGCTTCTATAATATTTTCTTTCCATTCTACTTGTTCATATTTATATCCAGTGAAGATAGAATAGAAGTTTGGAGAAGGTGTATAGAACTTTATACCTCGAACTGAAAAATCTTCTAACTTTGACAATAAGATATCCCAAGCATCTAACATCTTCATACCAACTTGTACGACTTTTATTTTCTTAAGTTTCTGTTTACATTCTTGTTCTGAAACTATTGTTGCTCTTGGTTTGTTAAAGACTACATCCCATTCTTTCATAACATAACATTCTGGGGCAGAGTCGACATAAATGACTAAACGTTTCAAATTCTCGACTGATTTGTTATAGTCTCGAAATGGACACATATTTCTGAATGTTTGGAAGTCATAAAAATCTGAAACATCTATTCTGTACATTTTTATAAAAATAAAAAAAATATTTTTTTATTCTTGAGCTATTTGTTGCATTTGTTGTTCTTGAGCTATTTGTTGTTGAAGTTGTTCTTGTAATACAATACTTTCACCAGTTGCATCTTCCAATTCGAAACTTTCTGCCGTCATTGACAAATACATAGGACATAAAAGTTTTACAGGAACAAAGTTTGCGTCAACTAAGGTTAAGTTTATGTTTGCTAAAGTGTTTGAGTTTACTAAAGCTGAAAACTCTGCATTCGAATGAACAATAGGCAAACCAGCAGAGAATGTGTTATTTATACGCATAAGTATCTTTTGGTCATAGTAGTTTCTGTCGACATTCGAATAACACTTTGAACCTAAGTTTGAAACAATATATAAAATAGGTGTACTTAAAGTCAATGGAACAGACATTCCTTGTATGACACCTTTTCCTGTTATAGGAAACTGTTGGTAGTAAAAACCAGATATAAGTTTTGTATTATAGCTCATATTGTTTATAGTAAACTCAGTCGGACATCCAAACATAATGAAACTGCTCTAGTTTGCAGCACATTTACACCCGTCCTTAAAGTATTAAAATAAGTCAACAAAACCTGTTGGTGGTATATCTGAGTAAGTATCTTCAAAGGAGTATTTTTTACCATTCACAACAATAAAATCTTCTGGTGTCAAAAGAGCAAAACAAGCTTTAGTCGTCATTGTGTTTAAGGTTAGTTTACAATATCGTCCTTGAGGACTTTGTAAGTTTGTTGTTATAGAATTATATGACTCAGGGTTTTTAGTCGTAATAGTATAAACCACTATGTCTTCTGCCATTTTACTTAGCAAATAAACTTTAATGAAATGTTGTGGTCGTCAAATATTTTTATAACGTCTGGGAAACTATATTTTAAGTTCAACGTTTCACCTCCTTTCATAACGTATATCTTGTCAATGACATTATATGAAACACCACAGCAACTAACGTCGGGTTCTATTTCTTTGATGTTTATATCGTCTGCCTCTGTCAAAAGTTTCAATAGTTCTTTCAAAACTTCATGAGGTGCAATGACATATGAGTTCACTTTTACAGGGTTGTGTTCGACCAAGTTTAACATTATACCTAAAGCTTGACAAATCTTCTCCTGAGTTTGAAGTTTGTCTTTCAGTTGTTGGTAGTCGTTTCGAATATCTGCAACAGAACTTAAGTCTCTGCTAACTTCAGGATATGTTGGTTGTTCTTTTACAGGAACTATTGTTATACCATCTTGGTCTTCGTATGGTTTCCCCACTTCAACATCTCTGTCTTTGACATTGACAACAACACTTTGACTGTTTGTTTGAGTTGGTGAATTTAACTTCACATCTGCCACTGCCATTAAACCTTTTGAAACACTCACGCTTCTATTTTTCGGAAATGACATTTTACTTAGAATAAAAAGATGGACGTATTCGAGTATCTCTTCGAATTGAAGCAAAACAAAGTTTACACACACAAACAATACAAATACATTGACAGAATAGTTCTTTATACAAACAATGGTAAATGTTATAGAATAGCAGTCTTTGCTGAACCAAATATTTTCATAAAGCAAAGAAAGTTGGTATAACTGAAATGGTGAAAGTTCTTGAAGCAGACAAAAATATAACTTCAAAACTTACAGATATTTCTAAAGGTAAGTTTATAATACAATATTATGTCAAAACTGGCGTACTGTCAATATTTGACGGAGAGAAGTCAGTTCAAGAACAACTTACTGACCTGCTGCCAAAATCTGCTCGATGGAAGCTGTCGTTATGCCAATCTGAGGAGCCCCAGCAGGTTTCATCGAACGAATCTTCAAAAGAGCATCTTCCGTGAAAAGTGCTATTGGTTTTGTAAACTTCTTTGCTTTCAATTCATCTGGCCGTCTCTGTCACCAGTATATTGTATTTGTACAGTACCAACAGTTGAAATACCACCCATAAAGTCTTCTGAGTCAGCAAATGGAATGCCAAGCCAAAAGTTTGAACGGTCTCCATTTGTATATTGAGTTTTTTGACCTCCTGTATGAGTCCATACTTTCACATATGGCATAATAGAACTTTGCATTTCAGGGTTAATGGTTGTTGTGAAGTTGTTGTTAAAGTTCATAGCATCTAATGTCAAGTTGTATGACCTCATATCTTCAACTGTAGAATATTCTTCTCTTGGATAATATTTGCCATCTATGTTTATATGATATTTAATACCAGGGTTGTAGAAACAAGAATAGTCATTTATAGTTCGTCTGAACAGTACAAACATAGTATCTGCATGTTCATTGCAGTTGTTAAGGCAATATCTGTTCTTGACCTGGGTCAGCACTTTGGTTTCCAACTTCACCTGCAAAGTCTTTGACAGATATTTGGTGTATAGGGAACATAAGTGGAACTGCAATATATTTGGCAGCTAAAGCATTTGAAATATCTGGGTCCAACATATAGACTGCAAGTCTGCTTTCTATTCTCTTGCATTCAAATTTTTCGCATGTGAACTTAACTGGGTCCCAAGCAGTTCCAGCAGCATTGAAATAATAGTTTACTTCAGTGTTGAAGTTTGAGAAACCAAAGTCTAAGTCAACCTTGCCTTTGCAAAATTCGGCGAATGACGTTTTATTTGTTCCCTCTACGTCTGTAATAGTGAATGGGTCTTGTGTTGGTGCAATGACTAAGTTATTTTTGCTTGGAGTAAGTTCGATAGAAATTTTTCCTGCCCAGTTTGGCAAGTATCTTAAAAACCTGAAGATGAGGAAAGATGACAAAGGAACTCTAAGTTTCAGTTTTACTTTGGTTACTGCTGCTGCAGTTTGTCCAGAAAGGTCAACATAAACTCCTGGAACGTTAGGGTCAAGTCTTCTTATTTTCTCAATAGTTGCATACTGGTCTGTTGTTCTCTAGCTTGTGGTTTTACTGAGTTTCTCAAAGCGAACCATTCATAGTTTGCCCATGTTACTGTTTGAACTAAGTCAGAGTTAGAATATATCTTATATCCCATGAAAACTTCTGGAGCATATTGGTATCCGACATAGAAAATTCCATTGCAACCTTTCTTGTCAACAACTTGCAGAAGGTTTTATTTCAATGTCTTGTTCCACGTATAAGAATGAGTTGTCAATAGAAATAATGTGAAACCTGTCGCATGCAATATCTACTGTTGTTGAAGAACCTTCACCAAACTCACCTACATTTCCATAAGAAACAGCAGTTGTATATTCGTAAGTTCCAGGAACTATTTCTGACCTTCTAATGGCATTGTCGCATTCGTTATACCATTCGGAAACATTTCCGTTCATGGCATCCAAAACTGTTGGCGTTATATTCTGAGCGGCGTACATTTCATATGGGTAAAAATATAGAATAGTTGGATTTATGTGTCATAATAGAACCCACGTGGACCAAGCTTTACTTTCTTCCTGGCTGAGTTTTTAACTCTTCTTTTTCCTTCATTGCCACTACTTTCACTAGATGAAGTTACTTCTTCACTACTTTCACTTTGTTCTACTCTTCTCTTCTTCTTTGGTGTCGCTTTTGGTAACTTGCCCTCTGCTTCAAGTTGTTGCATCTTTGCCTCATGTTCACCTAGTATGTTGTAAATTTCCCATGTCCTTTTTGCCTTTGGGCTCTGGTCGCCCATCTCAGGTAACCTATATCCTAGAAAGATTTTGTCATAGTTTGTATTTGAGTCTTCGCGTATTGTTTGCATGACTCTTTCCTGAGTTTCCGGTTCAAGCTCTTCAAACAGAGCTTGTCCATATGGAATAAGCTCGTTTCCAAATATATGTTTTTGTAGCCATTCTGGTTTTCTTTCCATGTTACCAACAATATCTTTTGTGAATGGGAAAGCTTTTACCCAATGTTTCAGTCTTGCGTCATTTATTTCTGTAGTTGGTTTTATTTTGTCAAGGAACATGTTTTTCAATACTAACATTTCATTTGGTACTGTCCATTTGAGTTTACTTAAATATTCATCCCTTCTCGGTTCATTGTCTGCAAAGTAAGTTTTTATGACATTTTGTAAACTTTCGTTTGCAAGGTCATGTACAATAGGTTCTCTTCCTTCTCTCTCCCTAACTTTCTTTCTAAACTCTTCACCAAATATACCATCTTTATGGTTCTGTGTAGTTCTTTGAGATAAATGTTCTAGAACGTCAGGTGTTATATTTCCATCAGCCATGTTCATTTCATACTGGTCCAAAATATCTGCATCTTTCATATCTTTCAATGGCATTAAAGCCGCGCTGAAAATACCAGCTATATCTGGTTCACCATTCACTTCCATTGCGTCTACAACTTCTTGGAATTGTGGTTGTAAGTTTATGAACCACCTATCCGGGTTAGCTTTATGACCCCATCTCATTGTAGTTCCATAGTCTGCAGAAACAAAAGTAGGTTTGTTTCCATCTTGGTTAGGTTCTGAATGAACTTTAAACAATGTTTCATTTCTATATGTTTTGTTGAAATTTAACCTTTTATTTTCACCGAGTTCAGCCAAAGATTGAACGTTATATGCTCGTAAGTAAAAAGGGTTATTGTATTTGCGTACATTTTCTTTCAGTACTTCCATTCTATGCTGAATATTTTCATCTGGTGTTGGAGTCTTTTGTATGTCGGCAAACATTTTTCGATATTCTTCTACCATGTCAGCCGAATTTTTCTTAGACTCTTGGAAAGATTCCATATTCACCTCATACTCTTGTTGAGGGTCAAGATTTTTCGGCTGTTCCAAATCTTCATCTAGTTCTGTGAAGTTAGTTTCCAAAGGAGGGACTTGTTCGTTTCCTTCAGGCTCTTCTAGCTGTTGTTGCTGAACTATTTCTTCCATGTCTGGTTGTATCTGAACTTCTTCCTGTTGAGTTTCTTGTACCTCATCTGCTGGCATTTCATATATTCCGAGACCGTTTTTAACAAGTTCCCTATCTAAGTCATCCGGACTCATAAACCTTTCTTCTTTCGTTCCGTCTCTATTTTTTACGCGTTTCATGAAGAGAGTTGAATTGTCATTTAGCTCTGACACCAAATATCTCGGAGTAAATTCGTTCATGTCATTTGGATGATATGCTATTAAATCATATCCCTTAGCGAGCTTGTATTTTCCAGGTTTGAAATTATATCCCATTTGGTGCTGAGCCATAAAGCTAAATAGGTTCGGGTCAGTATTTCCTTCCTTGAACTTTCTAATAGCTTCTTTATATCTGTCACTAAAGTCAAGAGTATCTGGGTAACCATAGTCTTCTTTAAGCATTTTTAAGAAATCTTGGTTTCCTTGTTCTCTACTTCTTTTATGTCCTTGCTCTGTTTGTGGTTGTTGTTGTGGAGGTGGTTGTTGTGCAGGGTTTTGAACTGTTGGTTGCTGTGCTGGTTGTGGTTGTTGTTGTGGAGGTGGTTGTTGTGTTGGATTTTGAACTGTTGGTTTTGGTGCATGCCTGTGTCTGTGTCCATGTGACGATGTAAATGTTTTAGGTAGTCCTGGTGCAGGTGCTTCTCTTGGAGGGTTTGGTGGTATATAGGTTCCACTAGCTAGTATATAAGTTCCACCAGCTGGCACATATGTTCCATCTGCAGCATAGTGTCCTACCTGACTTTTCGTTTTTAAGAAAGCATTTACTAGGTCTGTTTTGGTCTGTTGTAACTCTTTTTCTTGACTTTCCACAACAGTTGCTCTAACGGCGTCATAGGCACTTTGAACTGCCTGTCTCGTTGCTGCATCTGTTATTTTCGTCATATTTTGTGCTACTTCTCTTAACTCTTTGTCGAAACCTTCAGACTTCAGTTTCTTTCCAGATGAGAAGTCGTTCACTAGTTTCACCTTACTATGAAGAGCTTCGAAGGCGTTCTTAAAGTCAGCATTTGTTAAAGCTTCATTTGAACTGTCTTCATCCGCTTGTATTTTTGTCCTTATTGACCCTATAAGCTGGGCTGCTTTAGCGTTGGCTTGGGTATCTAACCAGTCATTGTTAGCTTTTATATATTCTGCGCTTTTCATTGCCTTTTGCATGGCTGCGTCGTTATTTTTACTTTCTTGTGCTAAGTTTTCATACTGTACGGTTTGGTTTTGCAACTGTAAAAGTTTTTCTGCCTTTACATTTGCTTCAACTTCTTTTTTATACTCATCGCTATCCATATATGTCTTCAGGGCTTTTTGTTTTATCTCTTCATCTTTCAGTACTTTATATTGAGTAGTATGGTTTTTCAAATTTATGACATCTTGTTCCATTTTTGCTACTTCTGCTGCTTTTTCTGACACTTTTTTCGCATATTCCTCTGTACTTAGTTCTTTCAGTTGTTCTTCTTTCTTCTTTTTCTCTACGTTTAACTTATTGAGTTTCTTTGTGTGTCTGTCATATTCTAGTTTCTTTTCGTTTTCACTTATTTGTTTCTGTATGTCTATGTTTGACTTTTTGACATCTGATATTTGATTTTTGAGTGAACTCAAATTCATTTGACTTTGAGGGTTATAAGCTGTTCCGTCTGCAGCTCCACCATAGCCTGCCATTTTCGCTAAAAGTGCCGCTCTTAAACCTCCACTCTGTGCACCAATAACTCGGTTTAAAAGCATAGGATTGCTTGACATTTGTTGCAACATAGTGGGGTCATTCATTATTTGTTGTTGCAACTGTTGTTGTGGTGTCAGTTTTACTATTGGATGTTTCAATGCTCTCTTCCTCTTACGTATATTCTTACGTAGCTTACGTGGCATTTTAAGTGAAGTTAAAAAGCGGTTTTTGACAGATGTTTAGATGACACTTTTTGTTCAGCACAAAAAACTACTCGGTCAAAGTGTTGTCAGTTTTGTAAAATAACGGTCCTATCGTTCTATAATGGGGAAAAGGCTTCTCAAAGTATACTTCCTTAGAACGCCTGTAACTTTTCCTGTAGCGACGATAGACCCTTACTTGTCCGGACAAAGTTATACTAAACATCTTCAGGGCTAGAGGGCACGAAGTGCCTGGAGGCCCCACTACCTTTTTTTTTTTCATTCTCTAATGAATTCATTAGGATATATACTGAAATGTAAAATCTTTAAATATTATCTTAGATTGAGAAATATATTTTCAAAAATGATTCATAAATTCTAACAATATATAAAAATCATTTTATTAATAGTAAATAGAAGTGAAAATAGAGATTTCCTTTTAAACATATGATGTTGTTTGTGTGAGACTTTCAAATTGAGTGTTCTTAAGCTCACGTTTGTATTTGAATGTTGAAAATAGGATGAACACCAAAATAAGAGCATTGACTGACCAAACAACGATCTCAGAAACGAAAGAATGAGAAATATTTGGTGCTTTGTCAAGTAATGAGTCAAGAAGGTAACCAAGGCGATGCCCAGCCATTGCAACTCTAATGCTACCGTATTTGCGGACAATTTCGTAGTAAGATGCGTTTGGTGCATCATTTATTGGAGTACTGTATCCATACTTCTTGGCATATTCTAAGGATTCCATTGACCATGCCATTGGATCAACTGTCTTGTCCAAATTGAGACTAGACTCTGTAATTTCTTTAGTAAGTCTTGTGACGTTCTTTATAAACTCATTTCTGTAAAGTGATGCTGTTGGTTTCATGAGCATGTAGTTTAGAACGATAGCATCCCAGAAGAAGTGGATGTGGTTGCAAGCAGCACCATAAGGACAATTTATATGGTATAGATTGCCTCCTCTATCACCGTTAGGCATAGAATCATCGTAGTATGCGCAATTGTGATGTGGCGTATGAACATCTCCAACAAAATGTAAAATTGTCCTGAGATGAAAAGCCCAGGACTACAAACTAGTGGTTGTAGGATCATTTAATGTGTCCAATGCATCATATAAGAATGAGGTAACATTGTAGGAAGGATTAGGAATGATTGCAGGAATAGTTTTATTCATGTAGATTGGATTATCAGAGAAATGCCAATCTCCTATAGCATGGAATTTGTATGTATCCTTCAAATCATCTTGCCATGCAGAGCTATCGACGACAGATTGAAAAGGAAGTCCATCTCTGTTGATAAGTTCATACAATTTATTGATTTTCTTTGATGAAAGGTGTCCTAATGCTATTTCAGTAATAGCCATATGAGCGTGTGCCCACCAGCATAATCCAAAAGTTGCAAAAAGAACAAGCATTTAAATTGAATGATGTCAAAAATTTTGAGAGCGGATGCAACTCTCCAAATTGGTATTGAAGGTGAATGGAGAAATATTTTAATTTAATGAAATTATTGATGAATGTGGTTGAATCTTACGATGTACAGATAACCATCACAATTGCCAATTTTGCCTTTATAATGGCTCAATGAAATGATCATGGAATTGAGTTTTTGTAGCTATTAAAAAGCAGAAACAACTGGTCCTCATTCCAACAAACGAATATTTCGTCAATCCAAATTTTGAAAAATTCATCATGTAACATCAAATGATTATCTTTTGCATTGGCTGAGCTATGCTCCTTTCGGATGGTTGTAAGAAGTTTTGCATTTGAAAGATGTGAAAATTTGATTGAAAATTATTGTTTTATTTTATTTTGCTGTCATATAAATTAAATAAAAATTCATTTTAGTTAGGGCTGTACAAAATCGAGAAAAACATTGCCGTGCGGTAATATAGGGTCAAAAAAATCGCGCCTCGGCGGCTCCGCCGCCTCGGCACTATTAAGTGCGCATAATATTTAATATAGGGTGTCAAAAGGTGCGTTTAGCACAGCGCTCTATATGAGACTATTAAAGGAGATATATGCTGATTATAAGTTAGTATGGGTTAGTTGGGTACTGTGGCACTGCGAGCCTCCTTACCCATTATATGTGAATTTGACACTTTACAAAACCGTTAACGTATATTTTACAACACAAACGACAACACTAACTTAACCTTAAATATTTACAAAGCCACCAACCACTTCACCTCACTAACGAACTCACTAATGAAAAAATAAACGTTCTCATAAATTTTCTTCTATATCTTCATCGTCAATGTTAACTCTATTGTAGTCATACTTGAAGTCATAAAGTTTCTCAAGTTTTGAAATGCATAGTCTTGTTAACTTACCTTCATCATCATAAGTTTTTATAAAACTACCATGACAATCTTTATAAACAGTCAGTGTATAGTTAACTGGTCTAGGATGAAGTGTAAAGAACATGTTATACTCAGGAAGGAAGAATAAATGTTTAAATGTATGTTTGTTATATTTTTCGATTTGTATGAGTTGCTTTTGTTCTGTCATTTATATAAAAATAAAATAAAAAATAATTTTAAAAAATAAACTTAAAAATTAATGATATCACCACCCTCACACGTATGAAAACATAGCACAAAAATAAATTTAGGTGAAGTGGTGAGATCTCACCTCTTTTTTCACCCTGTTGAATTCATTGCTTTATAACTCTCTTCCTTTCTCCAACTCTTCTAACTTCTTCCTAAGTTTAGCAATGTTGTCCTCATGAAGTTTAATCTTTCTCAAAATTCCTTCTTTATCTAATGGTTGCTTTATCTTTCTAAACTGAACTCTACCATCCTTCATAGTATGAATGTAAAAACCTTCTGGAATAGTTCCTGATTTAATGTATTCTACCAAAAACTTTTGTTTCATTGCTTCAGTGACTTTATTTGTCATTTCAATCAAATAAAAATTTTAATATTAAATAAAAATAACGTTATTTTTTCAGTAAGGAAACGCAGGAGTTTTACGATTTATTTGAGGAGTAGGTTCTGGTTTAAATGTTGGAGTCGGTTTAGGAGTTGACTTTTGAACAGGAGTTTGTACTTCCATAGGTTCAGGAGTCATTGAAGGTTTTGCTTGTGAAGGCGTTGGTTTTGGCGAAGGTGTTGGAGTTTGTTTAACTTCAGCTACTTCAGTATTATTTACAACATTTGCTTTATTTCTTTTCAACATCATAACTGCTCCTGCTGTAGCTAGCAAACCTAGTGGGAGACCATATTTTATATAAGGACTTGACCAAATGCTATTTTTGACAGGAGCTGGTGGAACACCTAACCTTGGTGAGACTGCTCTTTGCCATTGTGCAGCTCGTAAGAAATATTCAATAGGTGCTCCATAATCGTTTGGTAAAGTTTGTTTCATAGATGGTGAAGGTTCACGAGAGCTTGATGAAGAACTCATTTATAAGCTTTAAAAATAAACGTTCATCCTTTATTCCTCACTGTCGTCCGTAGCTAAGTTATAGTCATCTAATCTTATTATTGGGATGCCATTAGCACGCACCTGAATGGCAAAGCAACAATCCCTCATAAATCCAATAAGTGGCTTTGGTACATTTTCAGTTGCTAGTTCAATAGGTCCTTTAACAGACAATTTGTATGTTATTGGAGCAGTAGATGTTTGACCTTGCTGGAAGCAAAAGTCCACTTCTGTTGGAAAACCACATAAGAAATGTGTGTTGTCATAGCTATCCCATTTATGTTCCACACTACCATCATCCACCAATGACCTCATAACATCTTCATTAAATCCTATCATATCATTGTTTGTATTGCAAGCGTTCGCAACCATTTCATAAAATACAGGTCCATATGATTTTTCAGGTTCTGCAGGCATATTTCCATAAGCTCCCATGGAAAGCTGAAGATATTTAAACTTAGGGTTCTCAAAATTAACATAATAGTTGTCTTTCTTTCTAAATAGTGCCCAAATACTTTTAACATTAATAGGCGTATAAGCTGCTGTAAATGTTGCACTTGAACTATCTGTATTCTTTGAGAATGAACCGTCCATAGGAATCCAATCCATAACTTTAACAGGAAAACATAAAGCCTCGTTTGTATAATGTTCTACAAGTTCTGTATAAATGTTAGGGTCTAAAGAGAATGACTTTGGATGAATGAAACATTCATTAAAATCCATCTTTGTTCGAAATAGTTGCTGGGTTACAGTTGTAATAGTAACTGTTCCACTAGCTTCTACTGCCTTCGTTATCATAGTGAATGGTTCATTCCATGGAACAAATTTATTTGTCGGTGGATTTGAATCTGAAGCAAATGCAACTTTAAGAGTTGGATTGAAAGCAATGATATCATTTACAGATATAGATGTGCATTGTAAGGCGTCGCTACTGAACTTTACTTTAAGCTGAATGTTTCCTGCAAAAGCTGGAATAAATCGAATAGCTTCTAATGGAAGGAATCTTCTAACAGGAATTCTTAAACGAAGCTTAAAATCAAATGATTTTCCTGCTGTAATTGGACCACTAACAATTTGTCCTGTTCTGCATGTTCCCGAATGACTCCATACATCTTCATGTCGAGTCTTTGAGAAAACATCTACTTTCTTTATTTGTTCGGTAGTTTGTGAGTTTGAAGTTATATATGCTTCTTCTCTTGCGTTGTCTTGAGAATATACGATACGACCATTTGCAAGGATTTGATATCCAGCAACTGCATAGAAAGCGTCATCGAAACCAATCCAAAATCCTGGTGGGTTTGTTTTATTGGAACCTGAACCAATTTCTTTATCTACAATAAATTGACCTTCCATTTTATACGTAATGAATGTATTGTAAAGGTCCAACATATTTTCACCAGGAGGTGAGAGATTGAATGTTACCCATGTGTTATCTTTAGCAGTTCCAGGTTGTGATGGAATCTTTGCGTCAGAATATTTTCTATTAGTGTCACCAATTTGAACTGCATTGTCTATGATATCGAAATATGAGCGAATCTGATGAATATGCTCTGCTGGAGTAAATTCGTTTAACTGTTCGTTCTGCATGTATTTACTTCAGATAAAAATATCTATTTACTTCATTATTCTCACTCTTCTTCTTGGCATTCGTGGTGGAAGTTGTTTCTTGACATTTTCAATGAACTGTACATTCTCTTTTGTCTCAACTTCTTTCACTGGCGGGTCAGGATTCTTTGACTCGGTTTGTTTTTCAATGAAATTCACGAACTTTGCAATAAGCTCTTGGTTCGTTATTGAAAGTACATCTGGCTTCTTTTCTTCTGGTTCTATTTGCTCAGTTTGAACAGAAGGTTTTATATGGGCTTCGGGACTTCACCCTTGCCATACACCTTAATGTTGTCGCTTTCTGCATTCGCTAATGGAACCTTTCTTTTTCTTACGTATATTTTACCATCTTTACTCTGACTTACGTAATAGAAAGGATGTTGTATTCCTCTTGCGTCATTTAATATAATAGACTCTCGCTCTGATTTTGACAAGCTCATTTTACATCGGTTAAAGTTTTAATTTTGTTTTTTATCTGCAGTCAAATGACTCAGACAAGCCCTACGGACAAGACCCAAGGGGTCATAGATGTTGAAGCATTGAAGAAAGAAATTCGTGAGCAAATTTTATCCGAACTGAAGGAACAAAAACAAGAACAAAAGCCAGAGAGACCAAAGAGAAAACTTAGTGAAAAACAACTTGCTGCATTAGCTGCTGGAAGACAAAAGAACCCACGTTTGCTGGCGAAGAAAGCTAGAGAAGAAGCTGAAGCAAAAGCTAAAGAAGCTGAAGCAAAGAAAGAGTAAATGGTTTATTTTTATCCGAATTAAATGTATAGACAAATACCTTTATCTGTTGCGTTCAGTAGTGAAAACCCTGACGTCAAAATAAAGGGGAACAGAGTAACGTTTAAGTTTCCAACAGACTGGATTGTGAACATAAATGAAGAGAAGTACATTGGCATAACAAATATGTATATAACACGTGCTTTCAGAAAGGTTGACTTTATACTTCAAGTCGAGATAGAAAATGACGAACAGTCTTTAAGCGCCCAAAACATTCACATATACAAATACTTTAAAGACGATACAACATTGCTACAATGTATGATTTCATTTAATGAGATGTTCGAGAAAAAGTTTAACATTGAAGTACAAACTTTACAGCCTTTACGTGAGTTTCTTGCACAACTGAAAGAAGAAGGTAGTCAGCCACAACTTATAGACTTTCATTATGAATTTAATGAAAATGAAGATGGAACTCATGACTGTCAGTTTGTTATATATTCACCATTCAATGAAGTAGCTAAAAAGAAAGAAAATCCATTACGTATAAGATTTCAAATCTCTGAACCAAGTGATGATTTCAAAAATGTTTTCAATTATGATGCAATGCTTCCGAGGAAAAATGAATTTTCAAAGATTGTAACACCGGCATTTGGGATAGAAAGCAAGCTATATTATATTCAAACTTAAGTAAGGAGTTGAAAATGAGTTCATTGGTCATACAAAACTTCACCATTCCAAATCCTAAATATTAAATTAACTGGCTTCAATCGTGAGTTTTGGATAGACATGTTCTCCACTCATGACCATAACTGCCCAGTGTTCTTACCTCCAGACCATAAGGACTGTCTCTATATTGAAGCACAACTCTTAAACTCTACCATCGCAGTATTGTAAATGACCACATGGGCTTCGCCCTTGCCGCTAGCGGCTTATTTTTATCACGAATGACCTCATTGCTGACAAAAATAAATGACCTCAGAACTTCAACTTACGAATAAAGCTTGTTTTAGTCGTTATTGAGAAGTTAAACTTTTCAGCAAAGCAAGGACTAGAAGACTTACATAAGTCAAATCCAATCTCTTGACCATCATGAAGTGCTTTGTAAAGTTTCATTAAACTGAACTCAGAGTCTTTGTAAATTTTCCTTGCGGAACCATTAAACCTTTATCTTCATCATAGAAACACTGAACAGAGTCAGGAAACATTTCATTAGCGGTTAAAGCAATAACATCTTGCTTCACGCCTTTCATTCTGCAGTGAAATGCAACTTCATTTAAATCATTCGTGAGTAAGTCTATGTAAGTCTTCTTTCCACAAAATATTGACTTGTATGCTAAACTTTGTTTATCTTTTGTGATTTCTGCAAAGTCGCTATGAAATTGACCAAGGTTTTTACCAATGAGAACTCTTCCATAACGTTTCTCAAACTCTTCAGCTAAACGAGGGATATCTTCATTGTAGAGATGCATACTGTCCGTATCGCTATAAAAGATGTCCATTCCTAAGTCCTCAGCAGTACAGAATACTTCACACATTATTCTCTTCGACATAGACAGAATGTTAACACCAAGTGGACAGAAGTTAAAGTGTCTGCAAATGCTTTTCGTTAGCTTGAAAATAGTTTTATCTGAACCATCCAAACCTTCGAACTTCACTATATGGTTGTAGTTTCTGATGGCATATCTTATAGCATCTTTGTCATTTACTATGGTTATTTTTGACTCAATAGGAGATAGAATAGTTTTGCCATAAATACTGTTCAGAATGAGCTTTATATTTTCTTGCAAAGGATTTCCTTCTTTCTTATACTTTAACCTTAACTCAAACAACTTCTTTACTTCATCTCTTATTCTAATATCTCTGTTTCCATCGTAATAGTATCCTTGCAACACTTCACATTTGACACCTTGATATTTTATGAGGTCTTGTAATGTTATATGGTCAACATACATTAAACAGCAAGTGTTTGAACTTCTGGGAACGTTAAGTTCTGGATTTAGTTCAGGGTCACAAACTATTAAAGGAAAGTGTCTATGTATTCCAATCTCTGTTATCTTAATGAGAACAAAGAAGCCAGACATAAACTTTTCACCAATGGGTTCCTTTTGGTCGTCATCGAATAAATGTCTCATGAGATACTCTGTGCTTAACATTTCTTTCTTCATAACCTTTGGAATTACCTTCTAAAGTATAAAGTCTTGCTATAGCTGATGGATATAATGAAACAGCATCGAAGTCAGCAATGAGTTTCTTTTCGCTCTTTTGTTTCATGTTATCTGACAGCATACATCTTCCACCTTGAATACAGCGTGAAATAAACTCTCTTGGTTTATTTGAGAGGTCATATAAATTTCCATTCGGGAAGTACACTCTGTTCTCAAACAATTTGTTAGCAATTGAACAAATGCTAACGTAATCATAAACGTTTAAATCAAATTCTTTCAATATGTCATTGCGGAACTTAACAAAACCTTCTCTTAAAATTCTTACATCTTGTTTGCAATAAAATGTGCTATACTTTTCTAAGTCGAAGTGGTTTTCATCTATTCTGCAACCTTTGATGGAATCTATGTTTTTCATGAATGTATCCGCATCCTGGATAAACTTACATGCTTCAGAAATGACACCAGTTCTGTTGTCATTTGCTAACAAAACACTGCTGTAGTAGTTGTATGGAAATACTTCTTTTCGCTGTAAGAAACATAGCAGGAAATAGTTTAAGCTTCTTATTTATAACACTGTATGAATCTTTAATAATGATTGCTTTACCTTTATATAAGCCAGTTATTTGCATTGTTCGTGAACCTTTAATGATGGGAGTTCCTTTCACTTCTGTCATGTGTCTTAAGATGAAGTTTATATCATAACTGAGGTTATGGAAATATATTAAACTCTTGTCAGGAAGTCGCTCCAAAAATTCTGTTGCACAGTTCTGACCCCAAATGCTTTCACTCACTGAACCATCTTCACTGTCGTAACATATGTTAAAAGCTTTATGAAAGCCATCGGTACTGCACTCAAAGTCAGCAAAGAAAACGTGCTCAGGAATGAACTTGCACTTATTTTTATTTACTTCTTTTGACTCGGCTTTCTTCTTCAGTTGTACACAATACTTTGGAGCATATGTCAAATCTTTAAATGGTGCAAGGTTCTGTTTATATAAGTCAGTCGTATATGTGAAAAGTTCTCCATAAGAAATAGGTTCGAAATATTTGCACTCCCACAATGTTTTCATAACATCCCATAACGGTGTTGTTCTATCATAATGAACTACATATTTGTTCTCTCTCTTTGTATAAATCTTCATCTGTTTCTCAATGTTCATTCCACCACACTCCTTCAAGATTTCTATATAGTTGCGAATGAAATATGTTGTCATTGGTAATCTTTCATTTAGCATGTAGTGGTCTTCAACAAGAAGTAAGTCAATAGTTCGAACAGTTTCACATTCTTTTGGTATGTATCTCTTTATTTCATTATGTCTTGAGTCATTGAAGTAACCAATGGTAACATTAAATGCTATACCTGTTGCGTCAGAAATTTCTTGTACTTTACTTTGAGGAAAGTCTCTAACACGAATGACTTCT